GACTGAGGAAAGCTTCATTTGGGAGAGAGGCAGGGTTTTGTGTCTGTGCTCAGAGTCAGTCCTGCATTTTGGGGTCCATTAGGCTGGATAACATGTCCCTCCAAAAACAATTTGATTTTATAAGATCTTCTTGACAGCTTTATCCAGTTTTCTATTTATTTTTGCCATAATGCTAAATGATAAAACGGGTAGAGAGAGATTTAGATACATACAAATATATCTGTGTATTTATACCTATCTCTATTTCTCTATCATCTACCCATTTATCTATCATCTATTTATCTATTTAACTAAAGAGAGAGAGAGATACACTGACCGACTTACTTCTAGAAAGTCATATAGGGCCCATGACTGCATAAGTTCAGGTTTGGAAATATAAAATAGCTCCCACATTCTGTCGTATAATTAAGCTTGATTTAAAGGTGAAGCCTGAAACGTATGATGTAATAGTGGTTTCTGCTGCCCAGGGCTGGCAGCATCTATTTTTTCCTAACAACACTTAAGTAAATTCACTGCTTCTGTAGGTATGTCAGGCTGGGGTACTGGGTTTCTAACACCCAACTCTAAGAGGCTATGAAAGACTTTGTAGTCAGTCTCTCTCCCTCTCTCTCCCTGTCTCTCTCTGTCTCTCTCTCTCCCAATAATTTATGAGTAGATTTGAAAAGGAGCTATTTGCTTTCTGTTAACTGTCCTCTGCTGACCTGACATTAGGTCACTTTATCTTCTCAGTCTACAGTAGGTGCCAATCCTTCTTAGGTATTTCTTTATCATCTCATATATCTAAATCATAAAACTTTTCACATTATTATATAAATTATTTATTTGTCCTTCTCTCCTACTTAACTATGAACTCTTCAAATTCAGGTATTGTTTTATTTATCTCTGTAGGCCCAGGTATATAATTAGCCACGTTAAGTGTTTTGTGAGTGAATAAATACATATATTCAGTAGTCATGCATAAGCATTACCTGTCAGGCTCCATAAAAAATAGTGATAGATTATATAATGTCGAATTCAGATAGCTATGTGCACAGAAAATGAACATTCTTGGAGAGGCAGCATCACATGGTGGAATGTCGGCTTTGGAGTCTAGGTTTGAATCTCAGTTCTGCCACTTAACTAGCTCTGTGTGACCTTGGACGAATTAATTAGCTTATTTAATCTCATTATCCTCATCAGTAAAGTGGGGTATTTTCCACTTGCATGTAAACTGCTTGGCATGTGGCAGGTGTTCGGTAAATGGTGGCTCTCATTGTTATTAATTGTAGCCCCTCTCTGGGAGCTACTCAAGGAACTTTCACTGACTTGGTTGCCTTCCTGCTAGATATAATTAGCCCTTTCTGTGATACACCCTATAATCACCAAGGTTATAGAAGTCTGAAACTGTTCCAAGAAGTTGTTTTGCAAGTGTTAAGTAAAGAAAATGCTTTTAAGAGACCATTGCTTTTCTACTACTTGAACATTTTATAACATTTTTAAAATGAAGGAGGTGACTATGACAGGTATACTGCACTTACTATTTAATTATTGCTATTTACGTTTAGATTTGTTTCCAGAATTTTCAAATAATCCCCATCTATTTTTCTAATAATGTTTTCTAATATTTTTATAATAATTTTTCTAGTTATCTCCACCCATTGCACAATTCTTGATCTCTTTTAGTGTACTTATTAAAAGTAGTATGATAATTTATTCTTTATTAGATATTTGCACATTTCTTCTTTATTGTGTTATGAGATTTTGAGGTCTGGGACCATTTTTTTCTTTAATATATACCTAGTACACAGCTCTGTATTCTCTGAGCCACCAAGAAGAACTTACTGATTTCTGACTCTTTTTCTTCTCACTCTCCTGGACTTCTCCACTTTCTAGCAGACTCCTTAAAGCTTCGGTTTTAGGGACACCATTTTAAATATAGTGAGTCAATATAGGAAAGTGGTTAATACCAAAGTTTGGAGCCGGATCAGGTAAGCTTGGGAAAGTTGTTTAACCTCTTTGAGACTCATTTTTTTTTTTCATCCATAAAATGTGGGTTATATGTACCTAGTAGGGTTTTTGTGAGGTGTAAATAAGGTGATATAAGTAAGACACTTGAGCACCATTCCTAGAATAGAGAAAGCCCTCCTGAAATAGTAAATCTTATTATATTTGCAGGGAGGTATCAGGGCATCTTGGAAAGAGCACGGACAATCGGTGTTAGATAGACTTAGGGACGAATTCTGGCTTTATCACTGAACAGCTGAATGACCTTAGGCAAGTTGCTTAACTTCTCTCAGCTTCATTTGTTTTTAATCTACAAGGAGGGGATAGTAATGCTTGCCTCCAGGATTGTTGTGAGGTAATGGAGATATAGCACCTGCACAGTGCTTGCCACATAGTAGGCATTCAACAAGTGGTATCTATTATTGTTACCATGTATAAAACATACTTTCAGATTATTATTTGATCTTTACAACAGTTCTGTGAGGTAGAAAGAGTGAGTTTTATCCCTGTTTTGCAGATTAGGGAATAAGGTCCAGAGCAGTTAAGTGATTCTTTTTTTCATGGTTACTTAAGTGATTTTTTTTTTCTGAGGAAGATTTGCCCTGAGCTAACATTTCTGCCAGTCTTCCTCTATTTTGTATGTGGGTCGCCACCTCAGCATGGCAGCCGACAAGTGGTATAGGTCTGCGCCTGGGAACCAAACCCGGACTGCCAAAGTGGAGTGTGCCAAACTTAACCACTAGGCCATGGGGCCAACCCCTTAAGTAATTTTTACAGAGCCAGTCCTAGAACATAAGTCTTCTGACTTTTGGCTTTACAGGTTTTCCTTAAAAATAAATGTTTGGATGAATGGATTGATTTTCAAAAATATGTTCCTTTTGGTGTCTGCTCCTTTGGTTCTACTCAGATTCTTAATACAGATTGGTCCACGTTAGGATGTCAAGTTAACATAGAGCTACTCTTCTCAGCTCCAGTCTGAATTACTTTTAAATTTGTTCCAAAAGGTGGTTTTGAGATTGTGGATTTTACTCTGATCACTGTTCATGTGTCTCCTGAAGTTCCATGAAATAGGTACTTTAACCCAAAAAGTGATGGCTGTTAGATTCCTTTTTCTGTCCAATTCTCAGACCCAAAGATGTTTCCCCTTGGATGTCAGAAAAGCTTTCTGAGGTGTAGTTACTTTTACAGGAAGAAATAACATAATTTAATTCATTTGTGCTCTTGGGTTTGTGTATGTGTGGTGGATGTTTTTGTTGTGTTGTTACAGGTTCATGAAAAGCCCAGGATTTTGATGACAAATAGTTTGATGATAAAGGATTTTTTACACAAAATTGTCATGGTGCACCCTAAGGTAAGCTGTTCTTTTGCACAATAATAATTCTCTTGTTTAAGTCATACATTTTCAGGAGATCTGTACTCTGTAGGACATGGAAGAATCTGGTTGGTTCTCTCTCTTTTAATGACAATGATTATAACTTCTAATATTGAATTGATTTGGTTCACCTCGAAGGCAGTCTTAATGTTGGTCATGTGACGTAGTTGAGAGCCCTGGATATAGCGGGAGCTTTCCTTTGGGTTCTTATTTTCACTTATTTAATATTTTATTGTATCACTTTGGATACCTCTTTTCCCTCCTCTGTGCTTCAATTTTCTGTTAAACCTGGATAATAAATCTTGCTGAATATCTTCTTTTCTGAAGTGACTGTAAGAGCAAGTAAGGAAATTTTGATAAAGGACTTTGAACTTTGGAGAGCTAAAATTTTTATTCTGATCTGTAGTTAGATATGTTTATAAAGGTGCACACGCTTAAGTATGCTGTATAACTCCCCTTTTTTCTCTTGCTAGCTTCCTGCTGTCTCTGTCTTCAGCAGGGTTCAGTGCTGCTTGTTTGCCTGTCACTATTCTAAGCGCTGTCCATGCACTCACTCACTCAACCCTCCTAACACTTCTCATGATGTAGGTTTTATCATCGTCATCCCCATTTTATAGCTGAGGAAACAATGCTGCAGAGGGTAAATAATTTGAAGAGCCAGGATTTGAACTCAGGCAGTCTGGCTCCAGCGTCCCCTATCACCCACTGCATTATATAGAAAGAAAAATGTAGGTTAAAGGTACAATAGTGAAGTAAACTGGAGGGAGGACATAAAAGTCAGTTGGGGGCAGGGAAGGAGAAGCAAAGAAAAATGCATGGAATGTTCCATGTATGAAAACAATGGAAAGAATAGAGAGAAAAACTGATAGTTCCTTTAAGAAAGGGGAGAAAAGATACATTGGGAGAACAGCAGAGGACAAAAGGGTAGGCTTTCCTGATACTTTGTCACTACTTGGAATTGTAGTGTAGGACTCAATATATGTAAGATGCAGAATTTGAACACAGACAAGTGTTAATTATGTTTAGGGAAAGTACAAGTGAAAAAAAGGTGATATAAAAAATCCCCTTTAGGAATTGAGTATGTAAATTTTTAATCTCCATCCTGGTTCATGTTAAATCTCACATCCCATTTATTTTTCAGATTAGATTTAATTTTAATGTAAGGGTGAATGGAATCCTCTCCACAGAGCTCTTTGGGTGAGTCCTTAAGTCCATGGCTTAAATTTATGCCGTGGCCCTACAGTTTTGCTCAATCATTATTGTCCTCTTTCCAGTGGGTTCACAGTTTGATTTTTCGACCCAAAGTCACCTTAAAACTAATCTTCTGAGACCCCCTACATTTTCTTACTCTATATTAGCTTTTAATGAGTAAATATAGTCATATAAACCTTTTGTATCTTTTCACTAGAGTGGGTGAACTTAAAAATTGCCATTTTCCCCTTGGTTAATTGGTTACTGAATTCCAGTAATGTCTGGGGGTGGTAGTAGTCATGGACCAAAATTTGTATCACGTAGAGATTGGTTTTAGAATCTTTGAGATATGGCTTAGCTTTTCTTTGCTTTGCAGGGCTAAGAATGAACCCACTTTGAACCTGTCGAATGGAATGGCTCTTGTCGTAAACTATCAGCATTATGTGAGGTGAAGGGGAAAAGCATTGTTATTTCTCTCCATGTTTTACTCTGCTATTATGAGTATGAGTGTGGGTAGAAGTTGAAAATGGTCTCATTTGTCATTTCTTAGTGCCAGATGTCTGATTCTCTGTAAGAAAAGTTAAAGTAAAACTTTTAAGCTATTTGTATTGAAAACTAATATTATTCCTGCCTCCTTGAATATATTCTGATTACCTAAGGCCGTGTTCCTTCTCCTCTCCATACCTTATTTTCTTCTGTAAATGAAACAAATCAAACCCTGCTAATTCCAATCCCATTTAGACATGTGAAGAGAGGAGTGAATTTAAAAGGTTACCTGAACTGTTGGCTCGAGAGATACTATGAATACAAAGGAATTCTTTGTATATTATTGCTTGTGCATCAGCATCTTGCATGTATTTGGAAATCATCTCTTTCTTCACCTCCACTCTCCTCAGATTGCAAAAAATCCATGGAGGAGGTGGTAAATAAATGGAATAGGACCCTCTGCCTTGCATTCCTCTGCTATCCAACCACCAGAGAATCCAAAGTGAACATGAATTATAGCAAGAGAAAACCTAATTTATGTTTAAGTCCAACTAATTTGTTCTTTATTCACTAGTTTCTGCCTCCATTTGTATGCCCTGAATCAACACTGGTAGTTACAGGATCTTAAGACGTGAAGAGACTGTCCATGGTTTTTCAGTCTGTTTTCTTACCTCTTCCCAAAATTATAGCTCAGATTAGAATAGTTTTTATTCTTTCATATGTACAGGAAACAAAACCACCACCCCTTATCTTTCTTTAGTATTCGTCAGTCTTCAGTCCTAACAGGTAAACAGCTCGTTATCATAGATTTACTGCAAGAGTTTAAGCTTTTGAGCCAATGTTTGTGGACATATTTTCCTGGGTGACCTGAAGAGAGAGAGGAAAAGGTTCATTAATATTTCTTTTCTGTTTAGAAGATAGCTGTTGGAAAGTAAGAAAATATCAAATTCCACTAGATTCTTTTTAGGAGAGAAAGATGTCCTAATTTTTTCTCATTACTCCTATCAAACAGTAGCCTCAGACCTCTTTAGGGGAAGGTGGAGTAGTGTGATTGCAGACATCTGAGTATCAGGAGGCCAGTTCAGGGGTCCCCTCACCCCTACCCCCGCCATGCTGATCTTGGAAACTTCTGTTCAGAACCATAGAGTAATTTTAGTGGAGGAGACACACTTTTGAGAATATAAAACTGCCAATAGTGGCAGCAAAAGCAGGAGCCATGATACCATTCCTGAAATGCCAACCCATCTACTCTTTCTATTGCTTGTGGTTCCCTGAGTGGGACACAAGTTACGTATTCCAGCAAAACTGATATGGCTGGTTATGATTATGCATATGTTAGAGGTTATAAAAGGAATTTTGAATGCCCTTTTAAAAATTTCTTAAGAGGGAAAAAAGCTAAATTTGTCTACCTGTTTTTTGGCAGTAGAGCAAAATCTGGTACAACTGAATTCTTCTGCAGCAGAATCCATCCTGTGCTAGGACCTCCAGTCGTGCTTTTCATCCCTGATGATGTGGCTGGCGTGGACTTGTTGGGAGAGCTGATCCTGACTCCAGCTGCTGCTCTGTGTCCCTGCCCGAAGGTCTTTTCCAACCAGCTGAATAGGATTTCTTCAGTTTCCATATCCTTTTGATGACAGAGTTCATCCAATTGTCTTTGAAAATGAATTTTATATCCTAATTCTAGAAAAACCTTTAGCATATAAACTCTGCATATAGAAGCTGGTATGATTTGTATAAAAACAAAAATGCAGTATGAAAGCCAAGCTTGAGAATTTTTCTAAGAAACTGAAAACTATAAAACGTGACACATGTGCCAAACTCTTCATATTATCCAGTATGACTGAAGCGTGGAATGAAGGGTGAAGGGGGAGAGATGAGGCTGGAAAAGTAGTTTGGAGTTGAGTATGCTGGATCTGGAGTCCACACTAAGGAGTGTGAACTTCATTCTCTGTATAATGGGAAATCGTTGAATGTTTTAGGAGTCTCTGGCAGCATCGTACAGGATGGATGGAAAACAGAAGTCAGTAATCACTAAATAAATAAGTAAGTGAACTGGGCAAGAGATAATGAGCGCTTGAATTAAAAGTGTGATGAGCAAGGAAAGGAGAGACATATTACCGGAAGGAATGAACATAATGAGGTAACCAATTTATTGTTGGGGTAAAGAGAGATTAGAGGCAGGGAATGGCTAAAGTTCATATCAAGGTTTCTACATCCAGAATAGGTAAATCTATAGATACAGAAAGCAGATGGAGAGAGATTCTTTTTGCGGTAATAAAAATATCCTAAAATTAGTGGTGGCGATGGTTGCACACCTCTTTGAATATACTAAAACCCATCTCATTGTACACTTTAAATGGATGAATTATATGATATGTGAATTAAATCTCAAAGCTGTTAAAAAAGATTTCCATGGATGCCTGACAGAATGATGATACTGTCAACAAGATGCAAATCAGAAGTAGCAGATTTGGGGGGTAAAGAAAATTAGTTTGGCTTTAAAAGTGTTGAGTTTATGGTGCCTGCAGGACACCCTTTGAAAATGTCAAGCAGCTATGCAGAAACTTTGGTCTGGAATTTGGAAGTGGTCATATTTAGAGACATACAAGTGATCATATTTAGAGTTTTTCTCTAAATATTTGGAGTTTTTCGCCTTAGAGTTTTATCCTTAGGTAAGTATAGTATATTGCTGTGGTTAGAGCAGGCACAAGAGTGTAAATGCTGGATTCCCCACTAATTAGCTGCGTGACTTTAGGCAGTTTACTCAACCAGCATAAGCATTTATTTCCTCAGCTTTAAAATGGGGGTAATAATACTTACCTCATGGATTTATTTATTTTCCCTTGCAAAATAAATTCCCTTGGGGTTTGTTTGCTTAGGATTAATTATATAATAAACCATGTGAAGCTCTTAGCATATGACCTGACACCTAATAAGTGTTGGGTAAATATTAGGTACTATTATTATATGATTGAAGCTATAGGAGTAAATGAAGTTAGGGTATAAAGAACAAGAACAGAAGAGGGCCAAGGTCATGGTATGATAAATGTCAGCTGAGAATACTTTTTAGGGAGGAGGAAGGAACAGGATAGTGACAAAGACTATACATGGAGGGGCTGGCCCCATGGCCGAGTGGTTGAGTTCGCGTGCTCTGCCTCGGCAGCCCAGGGTTTCGCTGGTTTGGATCCTGGGCTCGGATATGGCACCACTCATCAGGCCACGTTGAGGCGGCGTCCCACATGCCACAACTAGAAGGACCCACAACTAAAAATATACAACTATATACTGGGGGGCTTTGGGGAGAAAAAGGAAAAATAAAATCTTAAAAAAAAAAGAAAACTATACATATGAACATTTTGTATTTTAAAACATGCTTTTTCTTAACATCTAGATTATACAGAAGAGTATAAGGTAAAATATACAACTTTCTTCATCCTCATCCCATTCTCCAGAGGGAAAAAGACAAATTGTCTATCCTCTTAGAGTTTACATTTTAATGGGAATATTTAACAAATCAATAGATGTTAGGTAGTGATAAGTACAGTGAAGATTAAAAAAAGCAGGTAAAGAGATAGAGAATAATGAGGATGTTATTTTAAATATTATGATCAGTAAAGACTCTGGAGGGGTGATGTTTTAGTGAAGAGAGAGCTAGTTATGAAAACTGGTGGGATTTTGGTTTCTGAAAATGGTGAACTAGGTAATTTAGACCAACCTTCCCACTGAATAGAAAGGCTAGATGAAATAGTAAAACATTGTAAAGTATCTAGGACTTGGTGACTAGGGAGGAATTTCTGGGCCATGATTTAGCAGAGAAAGGAATTATAGAAAGATGAGCCCAGCATTGGGGGCTGCTTTTGCCCTGGGGTCATTTGCCAATTAGAGCAAGCAGCTGAGAAGCTAAGATGCACTTCTGAATCAATGCAGGACCACAGGCCAAAGAGTTCATGGCCTGCTGAGCTTGAGGGTGCTATTAAAAACACCTCTTGGGGCCGGCCCGCTGGCACAGCGGTTAAGTTCGCACGTTCTGCTTCAGCAGCCCCGGGTTTGCCAGGTCGGATCCCGGGTGCAGACATGGCACTGCTTGGCAAGCCATGCTGTGGCAGGCATCCCACATATAAAGTAGAGGAAGATGGGCACGGACGTTAGCTCAGGGTCAGTCTTCCTCAGCAAAAAGAGGAGGATTGGTGGCAGCAGTTAGCTCAGGGCTAATCTTCCTCAAAAAAAAAAAAAGCCAAAAAACAAAACAAAACACCTCTTGTGGGGGCCAGCCCAGTGGCCTAGTGGTTAAGTTTGGAGTGCTCTGCTTCAGCGGCCTGGGTTTGCAGGTTTGGATCCTGGGCGAGGACCTTCTCTACTCATCAGCCATACTGTGGTGCTAACTCAACTTACAAAATAGAAGAAGACTGGCACAGATGGTTAATTCAGGGCAAACCTTCCTCAGCAAAAATAATAATAATAATAAAAATAAAAACACCTCTTGTTTTGGACAGGGATAGCTAAAAGGCTACACTTTAAGGAGTAAGGTAAATTTGAAATAAGCCATCCTTCACGTGAACTGCATATGTTTTTTGGGTCATATAGGCAGGCCAGAAAATCTTAAACTTTGAAATTGGATTAAGATGATTATAAGCTATGCTGTGGCAGCATCCCACATACAAAATAGCGGAAGACTGGCACAGATGTTACCTCAGGAATAATCTTCCTCAATACTCTTACCTAAAGTAGAAATATACAAGATAAACCTAGAAAGCAAGGAAGCTATCAAAGGCCAATGAGGTTATGTCAAAAGATTTAGGAACTTCCACTTCCAGCCATGATCAAATAACACCGACTGGATTAACCTCCTACCTTGAACAATTAAAAAACGGACAAATTATATTTAACAACAGTTTTTATGTGTTACACAACAGACAGTGCAGGTCACTGGTTCTGGAAAGAGGAGAAACAAACAAATGAACCCTATGATTGCCCCACCATACTGCCTAGAGAGGATTTCCAGGCTACAAAACAGGGAGGCGATATCCAGCTCGAGTCCAGCAGATCTCTCTGAATTGAGGAGACAAAGTTCAGAGTTCAGGGAGGTCCAGGCAGCTGGAATTTTTATAGAAAAGAGTACTGAAAAGGAGATCAATACACAGAGCCAGAGAGAGCTCCAGACAGAGGAGAATCTCTGGAGCGCATACAGAGCTGGGAATAATTTCTGTTCCTACCAGGCAGGATGGAAAACGCCATACTTCCTAAGGCATCAGGTGGAGTCCCCAGAATGATTTGCCTGAATAGTGGGGAGAAGTTAGCCCTGGCCTACAGGTTCTCTGGTCCCACCTAGCAAAGCTTAAAAGTAAGAGCCAAAAGGCTCAACTGTTTCCAAGTAAGTTTATAGTGTCCCAGAAAAAAAAGCTCAAGAATATTTATGGGAATACAAAATATCCTGCACCCAACAAGGTAAACCTCACAAAGCTGGGCATCCAATAAAAAACTACTTGCCATGCAAACAAGCAGGAAAATAGGACCCATAAGGAAGGGGGAAAAATCAGTCAATGGAAACCTTTTAAAAAGAGAATGGAAAGCAAAGAAAGATAAAGGAAAATATATATTCTGGTCTCTCTAGCCTTGGTTCAGGGGACAAAAAAGGTTAGGCGGTGTTTCTTAACCGGATAATTTTACCCTCAGAGGACATTTGGCGTGTCTGGAGACATTTTTGATCGTCACAACTGGAGGGAAACGTGCTACCAGCAGCCAGTAGCTACCGGTGGGTAGAGGCTAGGCATGCTGTTAAACATCCTATAATGCACAAGACAGCCCCACGACAAAGAATTATCTGGCCCGAAGTGTCAGTAGTTTCAAGGGTGAGCAACCCTGGGTTAAAGGGAGAGTGACAGTGGGAATGGAAAGTCAAGAGAAAGAAACCCATCTCATCGGCCTGCCTTCCTTTGTCTTGGTTAGAGAATAGAGCTGGAGAAGGTGAGGAGCTTCCTTCTTGATGCGAATATACTCAAATAACTTCCTGGAAAGTGTTCCTTAGAATATACTTCTATTCTAGCATGTGCCACATTGTATTACAGTGTACTGGTTTTTATGTGTATCTCCCATACCATAAATATGATCACTTGAAGGTCAGCATTAAATCTGGATATTTATCTTTGTATCCCCAGAACTTAGTACAGTGTTTAGCCTATAATACCACTCAAACCTACGATTGAATGAGTAGGATGAATAAATAAACGAATTTTCCCAATACTATAGCTGCAGCAGACACTCATTAAACCCAGAATAAATTTCTGGGAATTCTCATGGATTTATCTCTGGTGCCTCACACATATCTTCACTGTGGGAAAAGTTTAATATGGAATCACCTAGCACACTAGTTTATTTCTGGGAGTGTGAACCAGGTCAGTGTTATGTTTGTTTTATGCAAATGAATACATAGTCATAAAAAACTAAAATTTGGCAGTTTTCTTTAGCAACTATACATATTTCTATATGGACCTTCAGGTCTGCCTCTCATATCACCAAGTCGGGAACAGCCACCTACTACTGTCCTCAAGGATACCTTTTGTTTCATTGACTGGAAGAAATACCACTTGTGTGTGGTACCCAATTTGGATCTTAATTTGGATAGAGGTATATCTCCTTCTCTTTGCACAGGAATAAAGAAACCTGGAGAATATTAGAGAAATGCAAGGAAATATAAATAGCAGGTATATATAAAAATAGGACCCAGTGATCTATGGCTTAGGCTTGGGGGTGCAGGTGGAACTCTGGCTAAGTTTGAAGTCCACAGGAAGTGAGGCAAACAGGTGTCAACAGACAAAGCCCCATCAGAGCCTAACTGTTCTGGCATTACATGTTGATGTTGGTTCTCCTCTCACTTCCTCCACTGCCTCCTCTATTCCTGGTCCTCTTGAAGTAGTCAGTGGTTCGTCATCTTCTAGGGACTTGTTCAGAGGTTTCTGTTGTACCTTAATCTGTTATCTCTGGGGTTTTAGAAAGGTTAGTAAAGGAGCAATGACATCTTTGAACTATTATGGAAGAGAAATGTTTCCTAATGAAATGAGAAAATCCACACAAAATTACTTAGAAAAATTAGAACACCATATAAATGCAAGGCAGGAGTATAAACCATATAGTAATAAACCTAGCAATCTGGCTGTAATATTCAGGTAGAACCTAACCACATTAGCTTTGGGTGAATCATGCTGAAAGTTGGATGCTTAATAACTGGACCAGCAAATAAAACTGCGAAACAGGAATATGCAACCATGAGCTGATGTCTAGGAGCTTTACAGTCTTGAGCTTGACTGTCATTAGCTAGAATTCCTTGAAGTTTAGAAGGCAGCCTGGCCACTTGGATCCTGAGGATCCTGATGACCAGTAGAGAAGAGGTATTCTAGAGTTGTATTGCCCTGAGAAGACTGGAGCTTCCTCGACTGGGGAAGTGTCTCAGGGGGAATGATAGAATCTTCATCGAGGAAGTAAGCCTCGGGGGAAGGCTCTTTTTTCTAGAGTTGGTATTTATTCCAGAGGGTGGAATGAAGGGATGGTGTCCTTGGACAGGATCTCTGGAGGTAAGTGGTGTTGTGAAGAAAGAATGGTTGGTCTTAACAGATGGGATGTTATGCCATCAGGATTTTTTAATCTCTAGGGCTCTCCATATCTTCTTTTTGCTTCATCTTTATTTTCATGTTTTGTTGGTTTTCTTCGTTTTTTGCCAATTCGTGATGCCTGAACTTGCTAAGTTAACTTTGGAAATGAATCATGTAGAAAGTGTCCCATCATCTCCCTCCTTCATTACTCTAAAGGACAAAACCAAGATCTACATGGAGATACCTCTCTTTATGGATCTGCATGGAATTATTGTGATTTTATTCCAAAGGATCAAGGTGCTATAAAGTGACCATAGGATTACTTGGAAATACAAATATTGTATAGTATTGTGGCTAAGAGCAGATTTTGGATTCAGTCTAAAACAGTTCCACCACTTACTGTCTCATGTTGGGCAATGTATTTAACCTGTCTGTGCCTCTTCTCTTTCCTGCAAAAGGGCATAAGAATAGGTCTTATGCAATAGTGTTGTAAAGTCTAAATGTTGAGATAGTACATGTGAAGTATTTAACATGGTATGCGGCGTGTAGTAAGCATTCGATACAAGTTAGCTGTTATCATTACTCAGGTTTGACTGTGACCTCTGCGTCTTACTAGCAATACTTGCCTTAGCAAGTTGTATGAGGAAGGAATGAATTTATTATATGATGCTTCTCAGTAAATTCTAAGGAGTGCTGTTTGGTTTGCATTTTGCACACCCGGTTGTTATTTTGATGTTCTTCCTGTGAGTCATTATTAATTTACTTCCATTATGGGGAGAGAGAAACAGATTCAGGAGGAGAAGGGAGTGTTCAAATTTAGATCTATCTCAGATCCTTCTTTGTTTGAGGTATAGGCTTTTTATTTACTTTGCATTTTGAAGGCTTTACTTATCTTAGAAGACTGTGTAATATCTTTTTCTCTAGATTTGGTGCTTCCAGATGTGAGTTATCGGGTGGAATGCAGTAAGGAGGATCAGTCTCAGAATATGGACCCCCAGGGACAAACTCTGCTGCTTTTTTTCTTTGTGGATTTCCACAGTGGATTTCAAGTAAAGCAAATGGAGCTGTGGGGTAGGTATAGGAGAATGGGGCTTCCAGCTTGGGTGTGCTTAAATGTTAAGAGAATAAAGAAAGGGAGACTTTATATGGTGCGTAACCTGAATTAGATATATTTCTGTAGAATAATGAATTTCAATGAAAAACCTTGTTAAATAAGTTAAACAAAATATATGCTCTATGGAAAAGATCTGTATCTTGAAGCATCAGTTAAATGATGACCTTCTCAGATTTGGATGGCTGGAAATCAGCAGACACTTGGTATAATGCTCCCTACAGAGTGTATAACCTTAGAGGGGTGGTTCTCAACCTAGGCTGCACAATATATTACCTGGGGAGGTTCTAAAAAGTGCCCAAACCTCACCCCCAGAGATTTCTGATTTCCTTGGACTGAGGTGGGGTCAGGTATCAGTGTATTTTTAAAGTTTTTCAGGTTTGAGAACTATTCACTGCCCCACTGCTTTTCCAGGTGGAATCAAGGAATGTTATTGGCCTAGCTTGGCCTCGATGCAACATCTCAAATACAACACGAGGAGATTGGTATGAATGGCTTTATGTGATTGCCACATAGACCTCTGGAAAGGGCGAGATTGTCCTTGTTTAGGCATACGAGGGGGAGCCTTTGGCATTTACCTAACAGATGAAAGGTTCTCTGTGTTAGAGGTAAAGCAGTGATTTCACTGTTTTGTGGTCCATGAAACACATGCATCAGAATCATCTGGAGTGTTTGAAAATGTGCAGCTTCCTGGGCCAAGGAATAACCCATTGTTTTGCTCTAATTTAAAAATCTGGTACAGCTGAAGGATTTGCATTTTTAACAGGATTCTCAGGTGATTCTTAAATATAGTAAAGTTTGAAAACCACTGAGTATGAGCAGGAGTTGGCTTATGCCTTTTAATCCAATAAACCCTGTGACATAAATTTAAGAATTTCTCAATGCCCTCCTAAACTTTGAAGGAAGTGGCATGAAGCGGAGCTTATAAATGCCTGGGGAAAGGTTCAGAAGCCTGCCTTTTGGTGCACCTGATTTGTGTCTGTGTTCTTCTTTCTCTGTGGGCCAATGTTTTTTCTTGGGGCTCTACTCTCCAGGCATTCCAGTGCTGTTTGGTGTGGCCCTGCTCCTGTGGCCTTGAGTCATAAGAGAAATGAGACAGCTTATAACCCCAGATTAGAAGAGTTCACATCGACTGGTGCCAACTATTTGTTGAACAAACCACCTTCAGCTGTGGGATTCTTCCTGCTGCCTGCCTTCCATGCCTCTCCTACCTTTTCCCAACATGTATATATTCTTTAGGAGAGAATCACTGTTTTCACGGGTTCTGGTTTGTAACTCTTTATTTGAGAAGCTGTATTCTCTGGTGTCCCACTGTTCCATTCATTAAGGCGCTAGAATGGGAACATAGAAGAGACCCAGACTAATGAGGCTTCCAGCAAGGAGGTCAAAGGTGAGGATGCCTAGGGTCATCACCTGGCCTGTGCTCACATGGACAGAGGCTGAAAAGAGAAGCAGCTTAGTATTGTGGAAAAGACTTCAGGGTAGAATCAAGAGACCTGAGTTTAATTTTATTTCTGCTACCAAATTTCAAAATCAATGATTTTTGGAAAGCAAGTCACATAAATAATCTGATCCTCGCTTTTCATATATTTAACATGAGATTGTTAGACTGGGTTATATCAAAGGCCCTTCTAAGTCTAAAGACTCTCTTAAGACTTAAGATCTGTTATCTTCTGGCAGGTTTTTTTTTTTGAGGTCTGCTAGAGGGAGCACCATATTCACTCTTCTCTAGGATGACCTAATGTCTGATACCATGTTTGGAATCCTATTGAACATACCTTAAGAAGTCAGATTCCTCAGAAACCAGTGTTACCTATCATTCTTATAGTACTGCGATAGTTTATACACCTCTGTTTAGTTTGACTTTGAAGACTTTTGGCATCTCAGGTAGTTGCATTCAGGATTGGATTAAGTAGAAGACCATCACTGCATTAGTCAAACATAGTAAGTATCTTTTTAAATTTCCTTATACATCTGGTAGTTTAGGACTACCAGAAGAAGATGCATTGTGAGGGTAGGTAGATATAGATCTACGGATATAGCTATAGTAATTTTATCTTCTTTTTCGCCTCTTTCTCATATCCTTGAAAGCTTTCTCTAGAGCTCCTTTTAGGAAACAGATTGTGCAGAACTACAATCTGTTTCCATGTGTCTTTAAAAAATCACTTAACTGGCCTTCTGCCCGCCTCGTCATGGTAACTTTTCTATTATTAACTCATTATTTTGCCAGTGTTAAAGGCTTCTAGTGGTATCAGCAGTTTTAGAAATGAACTTGAAGCTTTTTAATTAAATGTCTGCTTTCAAAAGGGGTCTAACTGATTTCTTGAGACTATTCTTAGACCAAACTACAGAAAACAGTAATCCAGATGATATCATCACAGCAAGTGATATTTGCCCTTTGAATATTGCGATGAACATTTCAAAACGCTTCGTATATATTATCCCAGTTTATCTGCACAACATACCTGTGAGAGCAGGTGGTATAAAACCACTTTCTGTACCGAAGTGAGAAAAGTGAAGTGACTTGGCCGTCAATAGTTGGTGGTAGAGTTGACCCTAGAATCTGTGTTCTCCTGGCTCCAGTTCCAGACCCCTTTTGAGCAGACCACATATTACCTTCCCCTCCAGGAAAGCATCGTAGTGCTTCATGGTAGAAAATGTTCCTTCTGTGATGGTTTCCTTTCTCGTGCAGAAGCGTCTTAATTTGATGTAGTCCCATTTGTTTATTTTTTCTTTTGTTTCCCTTGCCTGAGGAAACATAGAAAGATACTGCTAAGACTGATGTCAAAGAGCATACTGCCTATCTTTTCTTTTAGGGGTTTTATGGTTTCAGGTCTTACATTCAAGTCATTCAAGTCTTTAATCTATTTTGAGTTATTTTTGTGTGTGGTATAAGACGTGGTCTCCTTTCATTCTTTTGCATGTGGCTGTACCGTTTTCCCAACACCATTTAATGAAGAAACTTTCTCTTCTCCATTGTATGTTCTTGGCTCCTTTGTCGAAAATTACCTGTCCATAAATGTGTGGGTTTGTTTTTGGGGTCTTAATTCTGTTCCATTGATCTTTGTGTCTGTTTTTATACCAGTGCCATGCTGTTTTGATTACTATAGCTTTGTAGTATATTTTGAAATCAGGCAATGTGATACCCCCAGCTTTGTTCTTTTTTGTCAGGATTGCTTTGGCTATTCAGGGTCTTTTGTTGTTCCATATAAATTTTATAATTCTTTGTTCTATTTCCATGAAAAATGACATTGGGGTTTTGATATGGATTGCATTGAATCTGTAGAGTGCTTTAGGTAATATAGACATTTTAACTATGTTAATTCTTCCAATCCATAAGGCATGGGATATCTTTTCATTTCTTTGTGTCTTCTCCAAACAAAAAGATAACCTACCAATTGGGAGAAGATATTTGCAAATCATATGTCTGATAAGGGGTTAATATCCAAAATATATAAAGAACTCATTTAACTCAACACCAGAAAAATAAACAACCCAATTAAAAAATGGGCAGAGGATCTGAACAGACATTTTTCCAAAGAAGATATACAGATGGCCAACAGGCACATGAAAAGATGTTCAACATCACTAATTATTAGTGAAATGCAAATCAAAGCCACAATGAGATATCACCTCATGCCCGTCAGAATGTCTATTATTAAAAAGACAAGAAATAACAAGTGTTGGAGAAGATGTGGAGAGAAGGGAACCCTTGTACAGTGCTGGTGGGAATGTAAATTGGTGCAGCCACCATGGAAAACAGTATGGAAAGTCCTCAAAAAATTAAAAATAGAACTACCATATGATCCAGCTATTCTGCTTCTGGATATTTATCCAAAGAACATGAAAACACTAATTCAAAAAGATACATGCACCCTATGTTCATTGCAGCAATAGTCACAAAAGCTGAGACTTGGAAGCAATCTTAAGTGCTCATTGATGGATGAATGGATAAAGAAGATGTGGTGTATATATATATATATACCACAAGAAGATGTGGAAAAAATATATATATATATATATATATAATGGAATACTACTCAGCCATAAAAAAGATGAAATCTTACCATTTGCAACAACATGGATGGACCTTGAGGGTATTAGGCTAAGCAAAATAAGTCAGACAAAGACAATTACCATATGATTTCACTCAGATGTGGAAGATAAATACGTAGATAAGGAGAACAGATTGGCAGTTACCACAGGGGAAGGGGAGGTGGGGAGAGTACAAAAGCGGTAAAGGGGCATATTTGTATGATGACAAATGACAACTAGACTTTTGGTGGGGAGTATGATGTAGTCTATATAGAAGGCAAAATATAATGATGTACACCTGAAATTTATACAATGTTAAAACCAATGTTACCTCAATAAGAAATTTAATTTAATTTAATTTAAAAAGAGAAAATATTCCTTCTGGCTTGCATTTTTCATGCATCGCTGAGGAAAGCCAGCCAGCCTTAGGCTGCTTCACCATAATACCTTTGAACAGACTATCCAGGGGAGAGTAGAAAAACACTGAAAAAAGAAAGATTAATTAATAAGCATTTTCTCCAGGTACCCTATAAAGTAAATTTTTCTTCCTGTGTCTGTTACCTCAGAATCATCAATGCTAGCCTATTGTTTGATATTTTGCCTGTTGCTTTCACATGTTAGCTTTTCTGAATGATGCTGAGCAGTGGTGCCTATGGTTACTTTATCAGAGATAGTCCCTCATTTAAAAAGATCTTATACCAGCACTTCTCAGTCACCTTTGTGAGTTTTAACTTTTCCCATACCACAGCATATCTGAAAGGACTGACACACGGATAGTAACAGTGGCTCACCACAAAAGTGATGCTCCAGTAGGAACAGAGTAGGGTCAGACACACTCTCCAGGAGGCTTTCCCCTCTTCCTCCTCCTCCTCTCCTTTGGGAGTCACCAGTGTTTTTGTTTATAGGACGTGGTATATCTCTGTTTCTGATATGAATTAAATAGGATCCCTCATTTGTTTCTGCAAAAATAATGTCATTCTTCACTTTAATTTTTGTGAGCTTTCTTTTATTTGTAAGTGAGAATTCAGTGAGTTTGTAAGTTGCTGGGGGGGTTTTTTGTCTAAAAAAGTAATTATTTGTGGATAGTCAGAAGTGGCCTCTTCTTTCAAGAGACCTCTTTGCCATTCCCAGTCCTGACTGACAGCGCATGAACAGCAGTTTTGAAGTGGTCATTCTCACTCAAGGTTACCAACATTCTCCCTCCTCATAGGAGTTCACACTTTGCTCACAACTCATCTCAGTGCCATCCTCATGGAGAGCCACAGTGTGGTGCAAGATTCCATCGAGGTTGCCGTGGACCAGGCCTTAGAGCAGCATCACCAGGCTGTCAAGGTAATAAAAAATTCACAACTCCCTTTCTTCTACTCTCTCTAAGAAAAAGATAGCAAGAGAATATGGCAGACAGGGCCTGAGAGCCTTTCCTCCCTTAACGTCTCTTCCTCTCCTCTTTTGTCACCTGGGCTGATCTTGTACACTGCGTCTGGCCTAGGAACTCAAGCTTTAACTTAGATGGGTCACTGAGACCAGCTTGCTTAGTCTTACTTCCTAGTAGGTGAGTTTGAGTAAATAAGGATAAAATAATACGGAAAAATGACTAATAATGCGCCTCTTTGTTATCTATGTGTCTCTCCTTCCCACACATACTCCTGGAGCTACTGCTTCACCAAATCTTATTTTCTTCCCGTTTCTTTTTTTTTTTTGAGGAAGATTAGCCCTGAGCTAACTGCTGCCAATCCTCCTCTTTTTGCTGAGGAAGCCTGGCCCTGAGCTAACACCCGTGCCCATCTTCCTCTACTTTATATGTGGGACGCCTGCCACAGCATGGCTTGCCAAGTGGTGCCATGTCCGCACCTGGGATCCGAACTGGTGAACCCTGGGCCACCGAAGCGGAACGTGCGCGCTTAACCGCTGCACCACTGGGCCAGCCCCTCTTCCCCTATTTCCTATCCTTTATAACATCACTTTTTTTTTCTTACCTGACTTTTTAATTCCTTTCCTGTGTACTTTTAGTAACACATTTCTTACTTCTTACGGCTCCCTTTTCAGGGGAAAAAACAAGCACAGAGAGCAAAGCTTAAAGCTTTTGTTTTTAAATACTAAGTGTATCTGTTATATTGCCCAGTGTCTTATTGCTTGTCTTTTCTGAATATGTCTGTGTCAATAAGTCATCTCTATGAAAGGAGAGAACACTTTTTATTCATTTCAATCCGTAAGTGTCCTTTATATGTCATGATCTCAGTAAGTATTGTTGATTAGGAGGAAGAATTGTTGAAATCCTGCTCTGCCTGAAATCTTTGGTCTCTTTGGGATTCTCTGAGCCAGCAGTTTGGGATTATTATAAACTGTGGTCTCCCCCTTACTTGTTATATTCCCCAGGCTCATCAGAAACTGCAGGCCTCGCTCTCAGTAGCTGTGAATTCCATCATGAGTATCGTGACTGGAAGTACCAGCAGCAGCTTCCGAAAGAGCTGCTTCCAGGCCCTTCAAGTTAGTAGGAAATTGGGGATGCTTAAATGTCCCAGGGTTTTAACGACATTCTACTACTGATCTTAGTCATATGTACAGTGCTTTTAGAAACATTATTTCATTTGATCCTACTGTGATCCTACATAGTACCAGGCCTTTGGCAGGTGTTTTAAGAAATATTTATTGAATGGATAGTGGTGTGTACACTATTTTATAAATGAGAAATGTTATTTAAAATTTCTACTTCCTTTGGGTCATGTAGCTAGTTACAAGCAGAACTAGGATTAGATCAGTGATTCTCAATTCCTTGTTGAAGAATGTTCTATAAAGTCATAGTGACAGAATACATTGGAAATAATGGGGCAACCATAAATTTTACATGTATTTGGCAGTACAGAATAGTGTAACAAGTTTCGGAATTAGAGGCCTGATTTCAAATCTTGACTCATTTGCTACTTGTTATTGGACTTAGGGCTGTACTTAACTTCTCTGTAAGAGCTTCATGCATAAATTGGAAAAAAATAATAGTACCTCATACGATTATTATGAGAGTGAGGGCTAAATGTGAATGTGCCTAGCACACAGTAGGTTGTCAATAAGTGTTAGTTTCTCTCCTTCCTTTGACAAATATGTGCTGACTAATTAATATTATCAGTGGGATAACACATTCATTCCATGTCTGTTGCTTCACTTTTTTGGTACTTTTTTTCTTGAAAAGATAGTATAATGCACACAAAATTTTAAATAACTAATAAACTTTATCACTGTAATTTTAAATTTTTGTATATTACCTCATATATATCATATTACATAGTATAACCAAAGTATTCTATATTCATATGTAATTTGACATTTCCCCCCGTTTTAAGTCTTCAAATTTGAATTGGTTACCCCGTAGTCCGCTATATTGATTTAATCTAACTTAATAAACCATTCCCCTAATGATAGACACTTAAGTTGTTTATGTATTTTTTGTCGATGTAAATAGTGCTTCAGTTAGTACATTTATGTGATATCTTGCTTCTTTTGAATTATTTCCTAGAGTAAATTTCTATAAGTGGAGTTACTGGGTCAAAGAGTATAACACTTTTATAATCTAGTGCATCATAGCTTCAACTTTCTGTGTCATATGGATAGCACAGGGTAGTGAGAAGAACACTTAGATTGGCAATCTTAAGGTCAGACCTAACTTTCATACTAACTAGCTGTGAGAGCTTGGGTGGGTCACTTCTCCTTTGGAATTTCAG